TTCTGGGCAAAAACAAATCCAAGAGCATCTCTTGAGGGTAGATGGGGAAACAGGCCCTGAGAATCAGGGTCTGAAGCTGGATTCTTCTTTGGGTGTCCTTTCAGCCCATCTCATCTCCCATAAACCCTTCTGCCTTAGACCTCAGGAAGCCCCAGCCCCTCCCCACTGCCACCCTTCCTGGCTCCCTCAGAGACCTTCCCTCAGAGCAGGAAGCAGTGGTTTCAAACCCTGTCTTCCCCCCTCCCAAGCTGTCCCTCCAAGCTGCCCTCCCAAGGGCTCCTTGGGATGGAATCTGAGCCCTAAATCCAGATGGTACTCTTTGGGGAACATGGTTCTCACCTTCTAGGGACCCTCTTTCCTTTTTCTTATGGCTCAGTTTGCACCCTAGCCCAGGCAATCATTATCGTCTGCTCGAATCACTGCAGTAGATCCTGTGCAGATCTCCCTCCTTCCACCTTCTCCACTGACACACACTGTTCTGCCTATAGCAGACCCCATGGCATCAGGAGCATATGGTTTTCCACTTACTGAACCTCACATGCTGTAGTTCACCTGCCTCCCCAGCCTTGGTTCCCATTCCCTCCCTTCCCCTTGCCATCCGGCCTCTGCAAACACTGGGTACCACACACATTCTTTCTTGCTCAGGGACCTTGATACCAGCTGTTCCTTCTGGCCACCATCTTCCCAGCTCTGCACAGCTGGGCTCCCATTCAGATCTCAGCACCCTCGCCAGCCTCCATCACCTCACCCTTGTTAAACATCTGCATCACACTGGTTCCTTATTTGTTTGCCTTGTATCACAGTATCCTTGGTGCCTAGCACATGGTGGGCACTCAAGAAACATCTGTTGACTCAATGAAGAGCTGGATGATTGATACTGAGCTGCCGGTGAGCTAAGTGCTGGGTGAGCAGCAGTGGCTGTCTTCATGGTGCTCACATAGCTCGGTTTACCCAGGCTCACATATCCTGTCTGGTTCTTGCACTGGCTATGAACCACAGTCCACATACTGGCAGCTGGTGCCAGATCTAACCCTAGGAGGTATTTTGTTTGAACCAATCTATCCTTTTAAGAAAAATTGGGAGCTGAATTAAAAATCAAAACAGGATAGTGCACTCCTATAATCTCAGCACTTGGGAGGCTGAGGCAGGAGAATCACCTCAAGTTCAAGGATAGCCTGGGCTACATAGTGAAAAGTATAAAGCAAGACCTTTTCTCAAAAACAAACAAAAAACAATAAACCTGGATTTGTGACTGCCATTAGGTAGACATGTTTTCTATAATCCCCACCACTGTCTGGTCTCCCTGAAAGTCTGCATCTGGTATGTATTATGTATGTATTTATTTTGGTTGTAGCAGTGGGGATTGAACTCAGGGCTTTCATAGCTCCTTTCTCCATTTTATATATTTATTTATTTATTTAGAGACAGGGTCTCACTTTGTAATTCAGGCTGGTCTTGAACTCACTCTGTAGTCCAGGTTGACCATGAACTCATGGTGTTCCTCCTGCCTCAGCTTCCCTAGTGCTGGGACCACTTCCCTAGTGTGTGGCACCACATCCAGCTACTTTCCCTATTTTTAAACCGGTAGATTGCCCGGGATGAACAAGGCATGGTGACACACACCTATAATCCCAGCAGTAAGGAAGCTGAGGCAGGAGGATCACCATGAGTTCAAGGTCAACCTGGACTACATGGTTCAAAACCAGCCTGAACCATGTACCAAGACTCTGCCTTAATAAATAAACAAATAGGGCCGGGGATTTACCTCAGTGGTTTCGAAGCCGGGTTCAAAAGCGCAAGGACCCGAGTTCAATCCTGGTACTAAAAAATAAATAAACAAACAAATAGCCCGGGCTATTTGGGAGCTTTAGCCTCCCAGAATGCTGGGATTATAGGTATGTACCACACCCAGCCACATCAATTGCCTTTTGTCATTGAACTTTACTATTGTTTTCTTTATACTAAAGAATTTTGTTCTGTATCTATCCCTATCAAAAGTTGAAAATGAAAGGATCACACAAGGAAACAGGATATTCATTCACCCCACAAATATTTATTTATTTGTTTGTTTGTTTGTTTATTTTGGGTACCAGGGATTGAGCTCAGGACCTTGCACTTTCGAGGCAGGCGGCAGAACCACTGAGCTAAATCCCCATCCCCCACAAATATTTATTGATAACCAGTTTTGTGCCAGGTATGGCTATGGACACAGAAACTGTAGCAGAGGACAGCTTGGGCAAAGCACCTTCCCTCCTGGAGCCTTGTTCAGTTAGGTGTGCCTTTCTTTGTACAGTGGAGATATTAGGCTGGCTAGCTTCACCCATTGTACCTCCCCACCTGGCCTCTGGAATCTCCCCTGATGAGAAAGTCTGCCTGTGTGTCCTGGGTCATCCATGAAGACTTCACCCTAGAATCCACCAGGGAACAAAAACCCACTGGGGCTGGCACAAAAACAAAAGTGCTCAAGAAACATCTGTAGAATGAGTGCGCTAAATTCAACTCTCCCCTAGTCAATGCTGTTGCTGCAGGATTTACTGCTAAGACAAGCACATTACAGATGCTCATTGATGTCAGTTGAAGGTAAGGGTCCAGGATCAGAGCAGAGGGTGGACAAGGGAAGTGTGGGCTTTGTGAAGGCAGAGCCCTAGGGAAGAAGAAGTCGAAGACATTAATGCCTCTTGGCAAAAGCATGCGTCACTCTCCAGTGACCGTGACCGTAGGAGATGGGTGATAGGATTCTTAAGGGACAGACAAGGAAGGACCCTTGGCCAAACTCAGGATACAGGAGCTAGGGAGGAGGAAGCCCATCTATCCCCAAAGTCCATGCTCTCCTCACCCACAAAGGGGGCTCCACAAAAGTCCTGGGGAGGGAATGTAAAGTGTCTCTAGAAGCATGTCACCTTCAACTAGATTTCTGAGAGTCCACATCAACTGCTTTTCTTTTGACTCTCTTTTTAACTGTGTGGATTCATTTACTGACTCATTTCTTCATAATCTGTTCTACCAAAGATTGCATACTATATGAAAGCTAGGTTCAGTGATGCATGCCTATAATCCCAGCTACTTGGGAGGCTTAGGTAGAAGCATCCAAGTTCAAGCCCAGCCTGGGCAGTTTAACAAGGCCCTGTCTCAAAAAAGGGGGCAGGGGATGTAGCTCAGTGTGAAGATCCTAGGTTCCATCCCCAGTACCAAGGAGGGGGCATTAGTAAAGCTGCTGTATCACAAAACAAACAAAAAGCCAGTATGTGAGAAAGATACGTGCAATGGACTCTAAAATGAGTGGGTCCTCTCCCTGCCCTTAGTAGGTTGTCGAGTAAAAGAAGCTCAGCCATGACGGAAGAATCACAGTAAAATGGCTCATGGTGGCCACCAAGCATTCTGGGTAGGGCAGTGGGTCTAGGACATCCCTCGAATAGGGTCTGGCCAAGAGCAGAGCAGGATGGATTGGGGGTTGGGGGGAGGCAGGCTGAGCCCCTACTCAGGGTTGGCCTGACCCCATCTGGGATCCTGGATCCTCAGCTCTCCTCTGCCCTTCTGCCCTTGCTGCACCTGAAATCAGGCCGGCGATTTGGGACAAGGAGAGTTGGAAGAGTGTGTAAGCCCAAAGGCCAAGGGACTGTTTTGCTGGAAGTTCTTGGAGTCGGTACAATTTAAAAGCCCTTTACTGGGGGGCAGAAAGCGGCCCTCGGCTTCAGGGCACCAGGTGGGCTCTCTGCTTTGTATTTGCTCAGTGGGGTGCAGGTTTCCCGCCTGCCAACTCGCACGATCCTGCCGCCCCGCGTGCGTGCCCGCATGAAGCCAGTGTACAGCAAATACCTCTGGGCTGAACCACGAATTGCTCAGCCGGACTTTTGGCATCCCGGGCCGCCTGGGCTCAGTCCCGGTTCAACAAGTGAGCGCAGAGCCGCCCGTTCCCGCCTGGCGGCTTCGCGCCTTGTCGGGCGCCCGGGGCGCGCCAAGCTAGCCTGGCCCCGTTGGGCGAGTTTCATTTCATCACCCGCGGAGCGTGCGAGCGCCGGTGCACATAACGTTGCCCTACCCTCCTCACCTCCCGTGCTCCCACCAAAACCCTCCTTTTGCAAATGTTAGCACAGCCCGCCGGAGAGGACCCCGGCAGTCTGGGCAGTCGGTGTCTCTGGGGGGCTGGGTGCCGAGTGCTGGCATCCGCCCCCCGCCCCCGTCCGGTAGCCCCGCCCGGCTCGCGAGGCCACCTCAGCGGCAGCGGAATGGAAACCGGTTCGACAGGTAACAAATAGGTGGGTTGTCACCGTTATTTCCCAACGCATGCGCCATCGCTCATCGGGCCACTCCAAGCTAATTAGATCAGATCACCACCACCCCCCCTCCCGCCCCAGCCACCAGCACATACCGCCGCGAGCCAATAAAGCGTGAACCCGTCCGTCCGGCTCGCACTTTAAGACTTCGCGAGCGGCCGCGGGGACGCCAGTCGAGCCGGGGGACGCTTACCTGCCGCTTCCCAGCCGCCCGGTGCACCTGGTTGCAAGGGCGGAGTTGGAACGCGAGCGCGCCGTCCCGGCACCGTCTTTCCGCGGAACGTGGGGGGCGCCTCGGTGACTCCTTCCTCGATCTGTCCCTTCTCTCGCGCCTCCAGCCCAGCCCGAGAAAGGGGCGACAAACTCGGCTGTAGTTACGGAGGAGGACCGCGCCGGGCCCAGAGAGTTCGAAAATGCCCCGCGCGTTCCTGGTGAAGAAGCCGTGCGTCTCCACGTGCAAGAGGAACTGGAGCGAGCTCCCGGATGAGGAGCGCGGCGAGATCTACGTGCCAGGTGAGGCTCCGGGCGCCCGCGGCGGCGAGGGTGGGGCGCAGGTACGCTTGGCTTGGCGCCCGCCGCTGGGGCGCCGGGACGCAGTTTTCGCCGGCCTCGGCCCCGTTACCCGCGGAGGGCCGACCCGGGGAGCCGAGGGGAGGGCAGCGCGGACGGAAGGAGCGCCGGGTGGGGGCGGGGACCGCTCCTCGGCCGGGGGCGCTGGGGAGCAGCGGGGTGTGTCACCGGCGACCGTCGGCCCTCGCGTCGTAAATCCAGAAAGCCGGGGCTTTCTTGAGGGTAGAGGAGGGCACTGGAGCGGTGCCACTTGGGGGGCGGGGATCGAGCTGGAGTTTCGGCTGTGGTTTGCGCCACAAGTGAGGGAAGACGCCGAGCTTAGGCCGCTTCAGGTCTGCCCCCTCCCCCACAGCATGGTGGCCGGTCTGGGCGAGGGGCGCGGCGCTGGGCCCCCCGAGTTTCCCTGGGGCTCCAGCCTGGCGGGCCGCACACACAGGGCGCAGTGCACCCCGCTTGTCCTTGAGACAAAGGTGCGATCCCGTCTCACTTCTGCTAGAAACGCAACCCTTCCACCGTCAGTGGTGAATGGTTTCCTGGAGCCCACCTTGGAGCTGGAGACAGGTCCCTGAGAGCCGGTGCACCCAGTTTATTTTGGGAAGACGCCTTGACAGCGTCTGCATCAACAACTTTGAATGAGTAACCGAGTCTTCTCTTCCTGCAGCGGCACCTTTCCCAAGAGGCCTAAGGACACTTCTTCTGTCCTCCCTCTACCCCCAACAAAACGTTCATTTAGGAAAAGGCCCTGCAACTCCCCCTCCCCAGCCTTGGGGGTGGGGCAGGGGCGCACCGAAGGGGGGAGAGGTAGTAATTAACCAACCGACTTTGACCCTTGATCTGCAGGCTCCATGGCACCGCCCAGCCCAGACCTTTAGGAAACTTGAGAAGGAGAGGGCTATGGGTGAGGGGCCCTGTGAGGTCTGCCTCAGTTTCCCTCCTGAATAAGCCTTTGGAGATGGGAGTACAGTGGCGAAGTCTTTGTGGTTTCACCTGCCAGGATCCAATGACCTGAGATGCTGGTGGGATATTTCACAGCTTAACCTTACCGTTAGGGGCTGGGCCACTCTTCTGTAGTCTCCTTAAACAAGGGATTGGGCCCAAAGGCCCTGATGACTCCAATGGGGAAACTGAGGCAAAGGTGAGTGTGCCACCTGGCCTAAGGTGGGTTGGGTTATGGGCTCAGGATTCTAGTTTCTTGCTGGCCTAGTGCCCTGGCCAGCTGGCCAGTGCTCCACCTCCGGAAGGCCCTGTGAGGGACTGGCCCCTTCCTTACTCCTGCCTCCTCCCCAACCTGTGTTTGACTTGCTGGTTAGCTGCTCCTTGGGATCTGATAAACTGAACTTGGACTGTGTTAAAGGTGAGCCTAGCCTTGAGCTGGATTCAGTGCACTGTTATTTTTAGGTTTATTTCACATAGTAGTCAGTAACAGATCAAGTGTTGACTTTTACAAAGGAAGAAGAAATTCTGTTTATTCAAATCATTGACTTTTGGATCCTAGTGATCCCCACTACCACCACTATGGTTCTGGTGACCACAGTGGGAGTGGTGGTGGCAGAGAAATGTGCCCCAGGGGCAGTAGGTCCCATCAGGTGCAGGGGCCGCAGGAGTCCACTGCTGCTGCTGTCCAGGTGAAGGAGCACGCAGGCCCTCGCTCTCCTGGACAGTCCCGGATTGGGGGCATATGCCCCAGAGACCTGCAAGAGTTGCCCCTCACACCTCCCACAGCTCTGGCCGGGGAAAGCCCTGTGGGTCAAGACAAAGGTAGAAGTTACAGAACTTAATTTTACCTCAAAAAGCCATGTTGCCAACTGTAGAGTTTCCCACAGTTTTGGGAAATGAGAAAGGGAATGTTCTCCATCCTTGCTCTGGTGTCTCAGATGGCTGGAGAGCAGGGGGTGTGTTTTGTGGTGGCTGTCCCCTGGCTAGGCCATTCTATCACCAGCCAACCATGACCCCAGGAGCTGGCTGGGCACGTTTCAGTCATCCCACCTCACAGACTCCGGCACATTGCTACCAGCTAAGCACTGACCCGGTTCCCACTGGAAGGGCCAAAGATCAGGGAATTGAATTCTGACCTTCCCGCCAGGGATTTCTGGGACCTTTAAAGCCTCACAGAGACTATCTGGAGGGAGGAGGTTTCACCCGTGACTTAAAATCACACCAGCCTTTCTCCCGCAGGCAGGAAGGTTCCCTTCCCAGGGCAGAATCTGTCCCTCAACCTCTTCCTCCTCCCAAAGCTGAGGGGAAAGCCCAGAGGGGCAGGCCAGGGAGGAAGCCCCTCCCACCCTACCCTTCCCCTACCCTTCCCCCATCCCATCCCATCCCCTCTCCTGGAGTGGGCTTCTCTCCTTGGTTGTGTCAATATTGACTGTGGAGTGACAGGGAAGCATGCTGGTTTCTTAAGGATGAGCCAGGCACCCATACCTGAGGTAAATTCCACTTCTGAACTGGGGGAAGGGCTCCAGCAACAGGGATGAGGTGGAGTCTCCAAGCCCAGCCCCTGCTGAGTGGAGTCTCTATGCCAGGAAGACACCTGGGGGTCAGACCCTGCCTGGAAGCTGGAACTCCAGGGGCATCCCAGGAACCTCCTCCAGGCCCCAAGCCCCCACTTCCGACCTCCCCTCTGGCTGCTGGTCTGGTCCCCTGTTTACTGGCGGAGCAGCACGTGCACAAGCCTCAGGACAAGCCCAGGAACAAGCCCAGGAGGCCAGCAGGGCTGAGCTGTCTAAGCCTGGGGTTTCCTTTAGCTTAGTAATGTGGCCCAGCCTGGCTCTGTGGGAACTTAGTCGCTTGTTCCAGGCTGAGCTAGAAAGACCAAGAAAGTCAGCTTTGGGCCCAGAACACAAGTGTTTGAGGGCCAAGAGCCAGGAGGTGAGGCCTCCGTGAGCTAGTAATCCTGGGAATGGTGGGCAGTGAAAGAGAGGTTTGCTGTGGCCTCTTGGTAGTGAGACTGAGAGGACAGTCAGCCAGTACACGGGGAAAGAAGAGCATCTTGGGCCCCAGTGATGGGCTAGATGGGACTCCTACTTCTCTTGTGGGACACTATCATGTAAGCTGTTTGTCTCAAGCTTGGGAGTCCCAAGGCAGAGTGCCTTGTTTTGTTTTGTTTTGTTTTGTATTTGAGAAAGTGTCTCACTATGTAGCCCGGGCTGGCTATCCTCCTGCCTCAGCCTCTTGAGTGTCGGGATTATAGGCATGCAGAGTTTCTTTCTTCTTCTTCTTTTCAGGGTGCCTTTTTATCATTGTTCATTTCAGCATGCATTGTGTGGCATCCTAAGGGGGTGCCTGGGCTGGTGTTGGGCAGGAGGGTGACTGATGTCACAGGAAGCACAGTACCATCTGTCCCAGATTGTGCACCCTCTGGTATGAGGTCCTAAAACACAGTTCTAACTTCAGCCTGGACACTGAATGAAAAGCAGTTGGAAAAGGGGACAGATAGTGCCAGAGTTCTATGGCAACAAAAGGCCGAAGATGGGCCCTCTGTGTTCACAGGGCTGTTACCTCTGCCAGTTGGCTGTTGCCATTCCTTTCAAGCAACTGTTAGCTAACTTGTAGGACTGGGGGAGCTGGGCAAAGAAGACCCCAGCCCTTCCTGGTAAGGCTGCAAGACTGCTTTAAAGCCAACCAGGCTATGCAGACACATGTTCAGAATAGAGTTAGCTGAAGGACCATACATCTGCCTGGACATCCTCACATCTGCCTCACTTGCTCTCCCCAGAGAGCCAGGACCAGGCCTCATGTCCAACCCTGTCCCCCTTGGAGGGGTAGGACCTGGCATTCTGTGCAGTATTGGGACCAGTAGCTTTCAGTCTAAGAGCGGGGAGCTCTCAGAGGGTTAGCAGGATTCAGTTCTTAGGTGGGCAGCTGCCTAGACACAGCCTCTTTATGTCCTGTCCACTGCTGTGATCCCTGGTCACAACATTGTCCAGGTAGAGGCACTCTGGGCCAACAGGAGGGGACACACCAGCCCCTCAGGATGCAGGTACAGGGCCTGCTGGTTTGGCCTTGTCACACTCCACAGCTGTGGGCGGGCAATGAGTGGCCACAGAGGGCCACCGCCTTGCCGGAAACATCTAATTAGGGGACAGGGAGCAGCACCAACAGGGCCCAACCAGTTCTGCTTCCTGCCTCCTGCCACTCAGTGGCACTTGGGATGGGCGGTTGGCAAGCTGATGTGCACTCCCTGTGTGTGCAGCCCTGAAAGGGACACATGGGGGTGGCACGGAGACAGGTTTGGCGGGGTGGGTATGATGAGGCATACATCCCCACCCTGGCAGCCTCACCTGCCTCTTGCTCAGGGTAGAGGTGGGAAAGAGCAGCCCAGCAGCCTCCACCCCATCCCCAACTCAGCACCAGCCTTCCAGGTTTGTGTGGATGTGCAGAGGCAGGCAAAGGACATGAGCTTGGGTCCCCAGAACCCCAGCCATGAGCCAAGGGGAGCCAGGGAGCTAAGTGTAACAACTCCTAGTTTAAACCAGCCCACCTAGGGCTGGGGATTTAGCTCAGTGGTTCTGGTGCCTGCCTCATAAGCACAAGTTCCCGAGTTCAATCCCCAGTACCAAAAAAAAAAAAAACAAAAAAAAAAACAGCCCACCTCACCTGCTGTCCCTCCTCTGCTGCTCCCAGGGCAGGCAGTGTGGCTTAGTTCTAGCTTTCAACTTGGGGGATCCTCATGCCATCCTCAGATGAGACTGAAGAGGGTAAAGGTCCCCCGTTTGTCTCTACCTGGGGTAAGAAAGAAAAATGGCCATTCAGTGTTGAGCTCTCAGTCAAGGTCTTCAGTGACAGATAAGCAGCAGTAGAAGCTTCCAAAATCTGTCACTGCTTCCAAAGCCCTGGTCTTGTGTGTGCCAGCAGCTCGCACCCAGGACAGACTGACCTTTGACAGTGTACCCCCAGAGCTCAGCTTGACACCAGCCTGCATGGCCCCAAGAGAAGTGGGACACCAGTTAGGGGCCAGGCCAGGGCTGGTGAATCAACTCCTGGAATGAGGTGGCTCATTAAAGTCCCCCGGACAGACGGACGCCAGTTGCCCGCAGAACGGGTTCTGGGCGCGGGCAGGCACATTCTTCTCCTGTCAGACCTTTGTTGTGTTTTGAGGGGGCGAGAGCTGGGGCCTCTTCCGAAACTCCAGTACTCTCATACTTACCCTTCCTCCCTTATTAGGTTCCTCTATCTTCTCCTACATCCCTTTCTGGAGAGAGAGAGAGAGAGAGGGAGAGAGAGAGAAAGAGAGAGAGCGAGCAATGGCCCTGCCTGGGTCCTTGGCTGTCTCTCTCACCAGCTTCAGTCAGGGAGTGGAGAGCCCAGCTCATGGGTCTGAAACCTCAAATCTATGGCCTAAGTCCCTTTCTGACTCACATCCTTTTCTATCCCAAGCCCCATCAATTGATTGATTGATTGATTGATTGTACTGGGGATTGAATCTAGGACCTTCACACTAAGGTATACCCCTAATTTTTTTTAGTTTTCATTTTTAGACAGGGTCTCATTAAGTCACTACATTGCCCAGGCTGGGCTCAAACTTGTGATCCTCCTGCTTGAGCTTCCCAGGGTGCTAGAATTATAGGCATGGGTTGCCATACTGGCCATCCCAGGGCCCTCTTGATTTGTCCTTCCAAAACTTGGGAAATGTTCCTAGTTTAAAGATTTTAAGTATCACGCTTTGGCTATACTAACTGAAATTTTAATTGAAAAACTAGACTGTTTTTCCCCAGCTCTGTTGGCTTTGAGATTTGTCCTTCTGGGTCAGATTTGGCCAGTCCTCATCAGGACTAGGGCCCAAAGTCGGCAACCAAGCCTCCCTGGCCCGTTCAGTCTAAGGTGCCTACCTTAGGGAGCAGCTGTGTCAAAAGCTGCCAGGTATCGGTGCTGCCAGTGCCAGAGGGAGCCCAGCCTGACAGCCACAGCAAGCGAGCGGTCCACTGTGGGGGAGGGTTGCATAAGCGCTGGGCAGGCCGCCCAGAGACTGTTACGAGCATCCACCTGCTGCTCCCTGACCTCCTCCCTCTCCACCCACCTGGCCTGTTTGCCTGTGGTGCAGGGCCCAGCCCAAGTCAGGAGCTTGGAGGCCAATGGGCTGCAAGAGCAGGGACCAGCTAGGCCAGGCAAGAAAGAGGCTAAGACCACCTGAACCCCAAGGCCAGCAGCTAAATCTGCTTGGAGGAGAGACGTGGAAGGGCCCAGACTACTAGTGATCCTTCCAGGGCCAGGATGAGCCTCAAGGAGCTGTTGCTGACCAGGCTCTCAAGTGGTGCCCTTTGTCCCTACAAGACTGAGGACAGGCATGGAATCCAGAGGGACTGGCCCAGGTGGGGCAGGCAGACAGCTCTGCAGGCATAATTGGCAGGGCAGTTCGGTCCTCCCAGTTCCGCTAAGACACAAATTACTCAGCGGGCAGTGGCCCTTGGCTGGCGTCACCTGTAATTACCTTATTGGGGCGGGGAATGGTGGGTTGGGAGCAGCCCCATTCTGCTCCATGCCCTCGAGGGGAGGGACAGAAGCTCCAGGTTCCAACCATGTCCTTGCTGGGGAACTTTCTGAGACCTGACTGGATCCTCTTTTCTCCACATGCCCTCACCTGGCTCCTCTTCTCCACCCAGTCAGCCTGGGCTTCTGCCCACCACAGCCCTACCGAGAGCCAGAGCCATCAGTGGCTGAACCTCCTTCCTGCTCCCTGGCTTTGGACATGAGCCTTCGGAACTCCAGCTATGGTGTGGCCCCCGGGCCCTGTGTGGTGGCCCAGCTGCCCTCTGAAGACTTGGGCTGCCTGACAGATGCCCAAAGCAGAGACCAGGGCTTCTTGCGCACCAAGATGAAGGTAATGACTCTAAGACCATCTTGAGGACCAGGTCCACGTGTCCAGCTCACAAGACATGGTGCAAATGAGACACAGGTGGAAACTAACCTTGATCCTCAGCCAGGGCTTCTGTGGAGCACTTAGGTGGAGCATAGACAGGTCTAAAGTGGGAACATTTAGCCCTTTCCAGTCAGTGTCCCTGAGATATCCAGTATAGCAAGGAGAGCCATAGGAAGAGCCACCCAAGTTTCAGACAGACCCATGAGGTGGGAGCCTGGCATGGGTGCATCTCCTGGGCTCTCCTATCTGGGCTGTAACCTGTGTGAGGCCTGGAGTTGGTGCTATAGTTAGCTGTTTCCTGAAGCAGGTGGCAGTGACTACCTTTCCTAGGATTGTGTCTCCAGCCCATCAGCATCCAAAGCTGTACTCTAGGGCAGGGTGCCATGTACAAGGCAGCAGATGCCCCTGCTTCCAAGGACAACACCAAAAAGAGGCTGGCCCTGGCTGGTCTGCACTCCTGTGAGCTCCAGGACTGGGAAGCGTCCACCAGCAGTGTTGGAAGGGTACCCCTCTACTGTGCCAAAGGGCTGCAGACAGTTGGCAGTGGAGCCATCCTTCCCCTAATGCCTTTGGAGGCCAAGTGTGTGAAGTTCCTGGAAGGCAATGAGCCAATGTGTTTAGTCATTGGTCCTAGCCAGCTGGGCCCCTCCTGACATTCACAGTGCCCCTTACCCACCTAGGGCCCTTGCCCCACCCCTTGGACCCCTGGGGGTAGAGAGAGCAAAACAGAGGGGACGGAATGGCAGAGGAGCCAATGGAGTGGAGTGAATCCTGGCCCAAAGGTCCTGACCAGCTGGCAACAAGGGGTGCCACAAGCAGAACCAGATAAGAGTGCTGAATGGGAGGTATGGTGTGATTGGGGGAGTACCCAATGACAGGACCACCCACAGAGAACAAGTAACCTCTAGCTGCTAACAGGTGAAGGTGGAGAGTTCCTGCTGCCACTTCGAGCACCACTTTCAAAGGTGTCTGGTGACTCCCAGGACTCTCAGATGATCCCAGAGAGGGAGAGGGAAGATGGTAGAGATGGAGCAAGACTGGCCCAAGTGACAGGCACAAGCTCGTGATACCAGTCTTTCCACTTTTGTTCAAATTTAAAATTTTCTATCATGAAAAAAATAATAAAAATTCACAGGCAAGAAGATGGGAAAAGGATATGAACTGTGTCAGGCTTGGCTCCAGTTAAACTAGAGAACTGGGCTGGCCTAGCCAGGGACTCCAGACTCACAGAGGTGCCATGGCCTGGGATACATCTTCCTGTGCTGAGGCAGAATGAGAATGAATGGCAAAAACTATAGAAAGGCCAACATGCCTCAATTAAGGGTAAATTTGCTTACTGATGCAGCAACCATGTCTGAGGGTTGTTTCCCCTCTTGGTATGGTTAAGAAGAGCCTGTGTGGCAGCTTCAAAAGGGAGCTCAAGACCCAAACAGGAGGCAGCACCAGTGAGCCAGAAGTTCCTTTAGCCCCACACTGCCCATCTCTGAGCTTTGGTCTCTGGAGGTGACACTGGAAGGTGCTGGGACCTAGTGTTTATGTTTCCCAGACTGCAATCCCAACTTCTGGAATCTGTCACAAATAGAGTCTTTGCCCACAGGTGACCACAGGGGATAGTCCCAGTGGAGACCTCTTCACCTGCCACATCTGTCAGAAGGCCTTCACCTACCAGCGTATGCTGAATCGCCACATGAAGTGTCACAACGACGTCAAGAGGCACCTCTGCGCATACTGCGGGAAGGGTTTCAATGACACGTTTGACCTCAAAAGACACGTCCGGACCCACACCGGTAAGCAGGAGCCAGTGGCCAGGAGGGAGCACCTCAGTGCTGCCTGTCTGAGGCCCCATGTGGAGACTCCAGGAGCCTCCTTGACGATGGGAGCCCAGGAAGGGCATCTTGGAGGTCAAGGTGGAATCCCCCTGAGTTGATCAATGAGGACTTTAGGGTTGAGAATCACTTGGGAAATTGGTGCTGGACAGGCCTTATTCATCTCTCTGCCCTAGTCACCTGTCCTGGCTTTTCTGGGTCTGAATGCTGGTGACAGGTGCTGAGGTCCCTGTTAGGTCCTTATGCCAGGCCCTGTCTTCCACAGGTGTGAGGCCCTACAAATGCAGCCTGTGTGACAAGGCCTTCACCCAGCGCTGCTCCCTGGAGTCTCACCTCAAGAAGATCCACGGTGTGCAGCAGAAATATGCATACAAGGAGCGCCGGGCTAAGCTGTACGTGTGTGAGGAGTGCGGCTGCACATCCGAGAGCCAGGAAGGCCATGTCCTGCACCTGAAAGAACATCATCCCGACAGCCCATTGCTGCGCAAGACCTCCAAGAGGGTGGCCGTGGCCCTGCAGAACACTGTCACTTCCCTATTGCAGGGCAGCCCCCACCTCTGAGTAGCACAGCTCAGGGGTGCTTTTGAGGGCCCTGAGAGGGTCCAGGTTTGGCACACTGCTGCCCAACCAGTCTACCCTCCTGCAGCCTCTTGCCAGAATACCTGTGATCAGGACTGGAGCCCCCCCAACACACACCGTGCCTTAGTCTCCCCCATAGACAGGTGCACTCCTGAGGGCTTGGCACTGACCTCTATTCCTTTCTGTACATTTATCTTAGGAGCAGAGGCCACTTGGGGCATGGGAAGATGTGTGGGTCTGGGCAGGGGCAAGACCAAGTGATTTGAAGCAGCTACCTGCATAGACAGGTTCCCCTGGCAGTAGTACTTCTGGGGGATGCAGCAAGAGGAGATCCTGTTGCCCTTGCTTCTGAGCACAGGGTAAGGGCTTCCGGGTCCCCGGGGACAACAGAATCAAGAACACTGACAAAGAGCACCCCTGCAAACAACCACAGTGGAGAGCTGGTGGCGGTCCCCACCTGCAGGGCTGTAGCAGGGGACTCTGCCCTCTGACAGAGGCACCCATGTGCACAGCTGTGTATGTATAGTTGCACATGCATGGATGTGTAGCCCTGCTCAGTGTATGCTAGCACATGTGTGTACCAGGTATGTGTGTGGATGCACACCGGAGGCCTTTCCACATATCACCTCATTTTTGGAATCTTTTTTTTTTGGTACCAGTGATCAAACTCAGGACCTTGCGCTTGCGAGGGGGGCGGCAGAACCATTGAGCTAATTCCCCAGCCCACATATCACCTCGTTTTTAAGAAATCAATCATATAAAAACAAAAAAGAAATCAATCATAAGGTGCCAAGGAAGTTTCATTTCCTTTTTTTAAAGATGACAAATGTACAGATATTAATATATACTTTGGTGCCCATGGCTACTGTTTTTAAGAGAGGGATGGAGCTGGCTTTTCTCCACCCCTGTGTGGTTCTATTTATCCCGGACATTTCAAACCTTTTCTGTGCCTTGGTCTAGGGGTGACTGCCTGACCCACCCCCATTCTTGGAGATATTTAACCAAATGAAGATCTTCCATGAGGCCCACTCTGAGGGTTTCTTGTCCTCTGTCTCTCCCCTTCTGCTGGACAGTGCCTCATTGCTGCTGCCCTTCTGTCCCATCCTTTCTTTTTTTTGGTACTGGGGATTGAACTCAGGTCCTTGCGCTTGCGCAGCAGGTGGCAAAACCACTGAGCTAAATCCCCAGCCCATGTCCCATCCTTTCTTGACAAGCCCAGCTTTCCTGGAGAGCCTGTGTGCTTCTGGGGGGCTGTAGAGGCCAGGCAGGTGCAATGCCAGGTCTCTGATGCTGAGTCCACTGCCTGAAGTACAAAGGCAAGCACAGAGCCAGGTTGAAGGCCAGCCCTTTGCCTGGGTAAGTCAAAAACCTGAGCATAGCAGCAAACAATTGAGATAGAATCATAACACATCAGAAACTTCCAGAGAGAGGAGAGTCTTAGATGGTTAACACATTTTCTTTGTAGCCTTTTTTGTTTTCCAAATGGCCAGGCTGAGGATTTGAGTGCCTGTGGAGAAAGGTGTCATTGTTGGGCTGGTTGGATTCTCTGAGGGAATGAGCAGATTCCCTCATGTGTCTGGGCTTCCTGTGATAACAGGAAAGGGTTTGGATCAGAAGGTGTGGGTCAGAGGAGATACAGTCATCCTGCCGGAAAGCAAGACTGAAGACAGCCATGGAACTTGGCAGACCGGGCAGCCCCTGGAAGCCAAATCCCAACACAACAAGCCTGGCCTCCCTGCCCAGATGGCCTGGGGTCTGTACAGACCTGGCTCAAGCCCAGGTCCAGGCTGACCAGAGAGGAAGGAAGCTTCTTGGACTGTCTCTGAACTGTGTATAGATTAACTCTGAGGACTTGTTTCATTTTTCTTTAGTATGTCTGGGGAGCTGCTATATTCTGGAAGTCCTAGAGTGTAAAATGATGTTATCCAGAAGCTGTTTATGTTTACATCCCTGTATCCCTGGGTTCATTGCCGATCTGAGGCAGTTGTGAGGCTCTGTGTTGTCTGTCTTATTTTATAACCTTCCCTCTAAGTAGTAAAATCAGAGAACTGTTTTCTGTTTCTGATTTTTTAATCAGATGGGCTTTTCTCCCCATGCAAGGAAATTCAACTTGGCAGAGAATAGTTGGAGAGCTGACGCAAGATCTTACATCCAGCTAGCAGTGGAGTGGGGACAACCAGCCAGCCAGCTCAGGGTCAGAGTTGGGAGAGGACTTGGTAGACCTCTAGGTGTCCATACTGGAAGGGAATGTGGCCTTACCTGTCATTTACCCAGGACCACTCTGGGGACTCTGCTCCCTGAGCCCCAGTTCAAGGTTCATCACACAAGGCCTGGGCCACTGGAGCACATCCTGGGAGGCATGAGAAGGCTGGTGTCCCACTGTGGTGAGAAAAATTATTGTTCTGTCCTCAGTTTCACTGTGAGAAGTCTAGAGGATTGGAAAGGCCCTGTTCTGTCTCTTTAAATAGTGGCCACAGGATTTCTCTTTTCTGGGGAAACTTCCTCTGGAAAAGGCCAATCAAACTCCATTTCACACATCCCTGGGAGCGGAACCATTGTTGGTGCCCCTGATGGTTAACTGCTGTGTCACTTTCAGGAGAAAGCACAGCATAGGAAGCCAGAGCCAGCGAAGGTAGCAGATTCTTAAACCTCCCTCCAGCCTCTGCTCTCCTCACTCAGATGAGTTCGGCACAGGTCTTCAAGTCTTAGGAAAACCCTTCCCCAGCAGGGCTGGCCCTTAATGTTCTCCAGACTCTCCAGCTGGTGGGTGCCATGGGGGAGACAAGAAATGCAAGGGGTGGAGAGAAGAGATTAGTGGAGGTCAATATATAACTAAGGACAAATGGTGTGGCCCCAAAAGGAATCTGAAAGAACAAAGGCTTCTCAGAAAAGGAGGGGCTCAAGCTGGGGAAAATAGGGTGCCTGGGCAGGGTAAGATGGCAGAGCTGGAGGACAGGAGTGTGCCAGAGGCAGACACTCCACCTATCCCTAGCCTAAGTCAAGGTTCAGTCTGTCACCACAGGCACTGCAGGAGCCCCAAAGTGGGGCTGGGGAAGCAGTAGGAACTGAGAACACAAGAAGCTTTGAGACGAGAAGGGTGGGGCCTTATCTGGAAAGGCAGAGCCCTATTCTTCCCAAAACAAAGCAGCAAGAGCAAGAGGGAAGTTTTACAACTATAAGGGCTGCTCCAATTTATACTCTAGATCTGTGTGCTTTTTCTAATTTTTTTTTACAATGAACATATTTTTATAATTGGAACAAAATAAAGTTATAAAGCAATTTAGTGGTTTTAGTTGACTTGAAGTTCAACACAACAAAGATGAGGCTGCCTCACTTCAATAAGAAGCAAATGAGGGGCAGGGGATTTAGCTCAGTGGTGATGCCGCCTGCCTCACAAGCACAAGGTCCTGAATTTGATCCCCGGTACGGAAAAAAAAAAGACCGGATCTACAGCCACTGATGATCATTGGGTGGTTGTTGCAACCCAACAGCCCAATCAGCTTTTGCTGGGGATTTGGCTCAGTGGTTCCACCCCCTGCCTTGAAAGCGCAAGGTCCTGAGTTTGATCCCCAGTACCAAAAATAAATAAAGAAAGAAAGAAAGCAAGAAAGCAAATGCAATCTTAGATGATATCATACAAGGGTGGCATCTGCTTTCCTGGTCCCCAGGGTCAGTAGGTGACAGGACAAGACCTGTGGCTTCTAATCAGGAGACTGGGTTTAAGTCCAGTGCTCTCCCACTGTCTGTGATCGTGAGCAAGTGACAACCTCTCAGTATCCTCATCTGAAAAATGACCTCGTGGGTCTTGGACCGGGGATTTAGCTCAGCAGCATAGTACCTGCCTGGCAAACACAAAGTCCTGAGTTCTATTCCCGGTACAAAAAAAACCAAAAAATGAGGTGGGTCTTAAGTTCAAAAGTCTTTTCTGCTATAGAGTCTTTAGGGTCCCATCTGGATAAAAGCCTGGAAGAAGCCCACATGGAAATTAGGACACCAGAGGCTGGGGAGGTGTCCTGTGAGGGGAGGACCATTGACAAGGGCACCAGCCCTGAGAAGAGGGAGAAGTTTCTCCAGCTGGTTCCTGCCACAGAGCCCAGGCAAGCAAGAAGTGAGAGTTAGATGGTGCTGACCTCATCTTGGAAAGCAGAAGACCCTCCCAGGCCCTGGCATAGCTTGATTGACAGGAAATAGAAGCCAGCGCCCTGACTGTATGCCTATTAGCCATGCCCAGGGAGCCACATGAGGAAGCATGAAGGGTCTCAATTGTAGAACTGCAGCCTGGATAAAATAATCTCCAAGGTGCTTCTGCCCATGAAATCCTGTAGGATAGGGGCAAAGTGCTATGGCCATGACTTGTAGGTCTAAGAGCATTCTCAAGAAGGCAGATGGTGAAAAGGCCGATGAACAGAACAGGATGGAAAGAGAGCACTGAAAGAGTGAGATCGGCTGGAAGGCTGTGCCCGACTCTGGGTTTGGGGTGATGAAGACCCGCTTGTTGTAACAAGGCGTTCCCCTTGTCTTGCCCCTGGGTCCACGCTCATATCCAAAACCAAACTGCTTCCTTTGGAGCCCTACTTGCCCATTTCCACACTCAGAAAGTCTGTTGTGAGCTTAATCTACTGCCCCAGGTGGCTCTGTTGGCTCCTCTGACCCATCAGAGGCTTCTCCCTCTACCTCCCCCTGCCCTCCTTACTGGCAGTTCCTCCTGGGGCTGGACCTGTGGGTGAAAAACTGGGGCCTGCACCACAGGAGAGGTTGAATCAGATGTGAGGAGCCTGGTCAGCCAAGGGATAGACTGCAAATTAGGTTTTCCAGGCCATTTCCTGAGCATAAGAGCTGGGAACCAAGTGGCTGACTTCCTGTGTCCCTCACTGTGTACAGTTGTACAACCTGACCTCACGACACCTGAACCTTGGATAGTGCTAAGTTCCATATACACTAGTTTTCCTACACTATGACAAAGTTTAGTTTATGATTCTTTTTTTTTTTTTGGTACCGGGGATCAAACTCGGGTCCTTGTGCTTGCGCAGCAGGCGGCAAAACCGCTGAGCTAAATCCCCAGCCCACAAAGTTTAATTTATGAGGCACAGTAGGAGATTAACAAAATAATAAAATAGAACAATTATAACAATGTACTGCAATAGAATTTGTGTGAATATATATTCTCCCTCTTGCTCTCTTAAAAATGCGAGATTTACAATTTGACATTTTCAGACCACGGTTGACCTCCACTAACTGAAACCATGGAAAGTGAAATCCCATGGCTAAGGGATCTGCTCTGAAGTTGGGGAATATTGGTGTCTTATGCCATTCAATCATTAATTTTTTTATATATATTTGTGGTACTGGAGATTAATCCCAGGGCCCTCACACTATGATACAGCCCCGACCCTTTTCAAATTTTTTATTTTGAACAAGGTCTCACCAAGTCTCTATGCTGCCCAGGCTGGGTTCCAACTTTCAATCCTCCTGCCTCAGCTTCCCAGAGTACTAAGATTATAGGCACTGGTCACTATGACTAGCTGTAACTCAGGAATCTTAAAATGGGCCCAGAGATGTGAGAGGTGGGAATCTAGGTCACCGTGTAACCTGCCTAAATCTCAAAGACAGCAGACTTACCTATGTTCTGACTTTGCTCCCCACGGCAGACCTGAGGGGCAGCTCACAGGCCCCCTCCCATCTTCACTGTTCCCACTACCACCCCCATTGCCCTTAGACAGCAGGAGAGAGCCCAGCATGTCCTGGCTCCTGGGCCAAACCGCTCATGAGCAGCATGTCCCATTCCACAGGCCAGAGGAACACCAACACGCAGAGTGGTGGGTCAAACCAAGAGAGGCTCCTGGGGTGCTGATAGGCCACATGTCACTTACTATGACCCCAATAGTTCTTGGAGCACTGTTTTGATTCAGCATACATATAAACAGTCCTGTAACCACAGCTAATCACCACTTGAGTTTATTGAGTTCCTACTACGCACTGAGCAGCATCGAGCTGGGCTTCTCTCTGACATCATCTCTAATCCCCACAATAAATCCAAGGAGGTAGCTATTATTGTGGCTATTCTTAGACAAAGAAACTGAAGCTCAGTTGCTCAAGGTCACATGGCTAGTGAATGACCTGAGGTCTACCAGATGGACACTCGAGTTTGTGCTCTTGCCTCTCAAGCCCTCAACAATTGTGAAGTGGGAGACCTTCTCTATTCCATTCTGCATTTGTCCTCTGGGCACAAAGCACCGACTCTCTGCCAGGGTTTGAGGATGCGAAGATTAGACCATCTCTCTCTAAAAGTTCACTTTGGGTGAAGGAACCAAAGATGGTCCAGCCCACATCTTGGAAGGAATGGGTGTGCCGGCAGTGAGATCAGAAAGAGCCGGCAGGGCTGATGCCCAAGCTTGGGGATTGGCATGGAATCTAACCTCAAATAGAAATCTTTCAAGCTCCCAAATGTCACTCCATGTCAACAGAAAGGGGAAGGAGGAAGAAACGGCTCTGTTGAGCACCCACCTGGAATCCCATCGGACCTTCCAACAATCCTGAGTCATTGGTACTGTTATTGTCATTTTATAGATGGGGACAGTCAAACCTAAAGAGGCTCGCGTGCTTCCTGGCAGAGTGGGACATGGGTGCTCTCTCTAGAGCATCACACCATTTTCACAGAAGTGTGGAAATTCAAGTGTGGACACACCTAAGCCCAACTGCAGGGAAGAGCCAAGGACCTCGCAGGGAGACCAAGAGGGCTGAGGCTGGCGCTTGCCAGGGGACACAGGTGTGTTTGTTTCTCTAGGTCACAGCCACAGTTGTCTTCAATGTTCCAAACCCAGAGAAGAGGCAGGTAGGGGAGAGCACAAGGAACCACTTGGGTGATCCAGAGTAGGTCAGAACATTCATTCCAAAGCTGCAAGATATTGGGCGTAAACTCCCAGCACCCATCTGGACATACCCTGACCTCCTCCCTACAGCCCCAGTTTTCCACTGTTATGGAAGAAACTCATCCTGTCCTCACCTCCTCTGCTGGGCCTGTCCAGCCAGATCCCGACCAGCCCGCTCCCTGCA